CAAAAGAATCAACTTTGTGATTTACTGCTACAATTAATAATTGTCTCAGTAAATGCCCAAACCCTACAGAACTGGTGCCTTCAGAGAGCCACTATGATTACATATTTGGCGTCCCTGAACCGGTTTTCTCTACACTGTTATCGTAATTATTAGTTTACAATGTCCAGTCCCTCATCCTCACAATGGAACCTAACCAGAGAGTCCTGTAGTCAAGTGGGTTCAGAGTCAACAGGGTGACTTGTATTAGTAGACAGACACTGGTAGGTGTAGGTAAATACTTGATACCTGCATTGCATAGTATACAATACTTTATTCCAGACAATGTGGGAAAGCAATAAAACAGGCACATAGAATGTTAGGTTATTTACAGTAGTTAAAAGCAATACATTTCTTGAAGGATGTTCTGTCAAAACTGTATAAAGCACCAGTGAGGTCTCTTTTAAAATTGTGTGCAATTTGTTTGAATTTGGTCACTGTGGTTACAAACAGATTACGTCTCTGCAATTAGTCTAGAGAAGAGGAACCAGATACAACTCTGGGGTCAAAGGCATATCTGACAACTGAATGTTTCTAATCTTGTAAGAGTGGCTAAGAGCAGTCCTATTCAAGATGATAAAATCCTAAAGATAATGACACACTCAGCCCAGTGACCTGAATCACTATCAACAGTGATACACAAAGGGAGAGACATGATTTGAAACTACAGGAAAGGGCATTTTAAACTGAGGACAGGGGGACCTTCTTTACACAAAGGGTTGTTGAAGGGTGAAACACACAACCCAGGCATGTGGGTGTTACTGATAACCCTGGTATCTTTCAAGAACAACACAGTCTGAGAGCCTTATATCAATTAGCTACTAACTACCAAACATATTGTTTCAGCTGGGAGCCTTCTTTACCCAAAGAAGTCTCCACAGCCAAAATGTTGTGTTTATTTCTATCTCTTTTCATCTTAGAATAAACCTTTACTTGTTTCTTGTTTCACTCCCTTTCTCTACTTTTCATGAGCTCCTTGTGACGTTTTCTCATTACTCTTAGTGACTCAGCTTCTGTCCGTACAAGGTTAGCAGTTTGTGTTTGTGCTGTTCACAGGGTCAAGCTGGACAGACCAGGATCGCCAGTGCCCAGCTGTGTGTCTATGAAGAGTGACTGGTCAATGAATGAACCAATAATGTTCAATGAAGGAACCTTCACTCCTGACCCCAGGTGAGATCACTGTTGTCTCACCAGATGAGATTGAGTGTATCTATTAGCAGGTCATGAGATAAGATTGTGTGAACTGGATCTCCTCTCCCTTTTGTATTTTCTTTGTTCTGTGAAAGTTTATGAAAAATAAATACCTGACAGCTGAAAACTGCTGATAATAAAAAAACAAAGTTCTACAGCTAGTATTTTTTTTTACTAATGGATTGAGTGTGCATGGTTAGTGTGTTATTGATCAGTGTGTAATGAAAAGAGTATATATCTACTGCAGACATGATCAGAGACACAGAAAGGTTGAGGAACAGAGAGCTGTAATTGAATACAAGAGTGATGAGCAGCAGAATAAAGGGCCTATATTTCTCAAAATATATCTGTGCCCTTGATAGATATAGAACCAGCTCCCAGCTGTGTATCCATGAAAACCGACCCTTCAGAAAATCAACCATTAGAGTGTGGAAGAGGAGCTCCACACTAGGAGGGGATCTAGTGCACAGCATCCACTAGGGATGTGTCCATCATACTCTTATTGTATTATTGGATTATTGCATAATTGTAATCCATAATTATTGGATTACATAATCCAGCCCCTCATTAGTCTCTAGATAGTGAGTCCTTTAGGCATGTGACTACTGTTACCTTAATGGACAATTAGGACATAGCATACAGAGCTCTGGCCAAGTCAAATCAGTGTACAGTAGGTGGAAGAATATTATCCACTTGAAATATCTCAACATCTGAGCAGCTAAATGAAGTCTACAGCAGAATGAGACCTCAAATTGTATTGGCCCCAGGCAGATGGATCAAGATCTCATTTAGTCCAGATGCATGAGGGCTATGGTGTTCCATTCCCAGCATTCCAAGTCATATGGAGACGAGATAATTGCAATGAGCAGGGCAGTGATGTCTGGAAGCTCCTGGTCATGAACTGCCATGAGCTGCCATTAACTGGAGGCAGCTGTTACAAGAAGGCTGTCAGACACTGTAGTTGTGCAGGTTCACTTCACCAGCTCTATATGTGAATTTCTACCTGAATCCTGTCGACACACTGTATATGGACCTAAATAATACAAAATACTTGGACTTGATTGATTTCCAAATTAAATAAACTGGTTTTGTTGTTTTACAGAAAACAACTATATCCAACATGCAATTTGAAATTTAAATGTAAATGTTATTTTTACATAAGTAAACCTATAATTTTTTGATAGATGTAAACCTATAATTTCAGAGACAAAACTATATATATATATTCCTGAGAGAACAGACTGTATCACATTTTGTGTATTTTGAAAAAACACACATTGTTATTAAAGAAAACATATAACAGCAATAGAATAATAATCTGTTTGCATGACTAGAACAATTTACTTTAAATTGCAGTTTAGTTTGTGCTCATGTCCTCATCTCCATGTGTGGTTGTGTGTCTCTTGTCCTGAGCTGTCCCCCCCCTTCCTGTCTTGAACTCTTTATAGGTGTTGTCTCCTCTCCTGAATTACTGGGCCTATACAGTAATTTGTTTGTGCAAAGAGCATTTTTAGAGGGAGCTGGCATAACATTTGTAACTCTTTTTATATGTATTCAAATACATATTTAAACATACAGTGTATTTAAACATACACTGTGAAGATCTCTGACAGGATTTTCTTTTCCTCACAGCTTTGCTGGGCCTGGAGATGCGCCTTGTGATTTCTGCACTGAGAAAAAGCTCAAAGCTGTGAAATACTGTTTGACCTGCACTGTCTCCTACTGTGAGATACATATCCGATGGCACTACACAGTCCCAGCCCTGCGGAGACACAGAGTGGTGGACATCAGTGGAGACCAGGAGTCCAAACTGTGCCAACAGCACCACAAAGCTCTGGAGCTGCTCTGTAGTACTGACCAGACTCTCATTTGCAGTCTGTGTTCAGCACAGGAACACAGGGGCCATGACATCATTTTTAAATCAGAACAGGGACTGACAAAGGTAAGAGGCTTCAGTCACTCATCTGCTATATAAGATCAGGTCTTGCTGAATATTGATACTCTTTTCACCAGCTGATTCACAGTGAAACTCAAAGGGCTGAGTGACTCTGTGCTGTGTCATCTCTTCCCTGAACTCACAGACAGAGATCTGTAGTGACCAGTGTGACTGAATTGATACACACTCATCAATGAGGGGAGCTGAGTGTCTGTGTGCTATTTTATTTCACTGTACTATACAGTGTAAAACATTAGTGACCAGAACTCAGTGGATCTGTTATCACTATGGATGTTCTCTTTCTATGAAAACTTTAGATCTCTTGATTTCTTTACATTCTGCCAATTCTGCCTCTTCCTGAAGTCTCACACCTTTCTCTGCTCTTCATGCTCAGGATATGGGAAGAGCTGTGAGTGACCTTACAGATGAACTTGAGAATTTCTACACAGGAGGATTTCAGGAGACTGACCAAACAGGTTAGTGTATGAGAGCGTCTCTCAGGAGAAGGACAGACTAGGTCAGTGTGTGTGAATGAGTGTGCTTTGACGACTGTAACTGTAGGAATCAATTAAGCATAATAATTTAAAGTCTGACACATGGATTCGAAATATGCAGTATATACTTTATTGATACAACACTAAAACATGCATAACCAACAAGAGTTAAATAATATATTTTTGAATCAATCTGCTGTAATATGAATTTGATCATTCAGTCAATTAAAATATATCAACTATTGTTATTGTCTACCTCATAGGTTATATGAATCTCATATCAGTATAATTTATATACTGTATCATCAGTGGTTAAATCACATTCATATTCTCAACAACAACTAAATTACATTTACTATCCTGAACTACTATATCAAATGTGTCTGACAAAAGAGCCCAAAACAAAGCATAACAACTGTCTTCTAAAAAACAAGATTTCTTCTCTATTTTTACTGTTGCACTCTCTCAGCCTGAAGTATTCAAAGAAATCCTGATTCAGACTGCTTGCAGTCACATTGTGGGAAAAGTCAGATTGCCAAGTTAGCTGGCACCCGTGCACATTTTTCAAATAATACAAAATTTCTTCCAGACAACTGTTAAAAAATCTTTTAGAATCCGCATACTGTATGTACTTCCTTGGTTTGCAGTGGAACAAACAAACAAAAAGTCAGCTTTACTATTTACTATATCTCAGCTTATTCCACAGGAAATCCTAAAATGGCCCGGATAATATTACTGGCACCTTCCAAAAGTACTTAGAAATAATTTGGCTTTGAACTGATGATTTTCCTTTACTTTGGAAATGAACCAGTATAAAAAATACTAATTCAACCAGTCTGAATAGAGAAAAGGACTCATTCTCCTTTTTTGTCACTGTGTGTACCATATTGAGCATGGAGAAAAGGAAACCAGAGAATTGTCTGAGGAGATCAGACACAAGATTGTAGCCAAGCATGGACAATGTCAACGCTACAAGTCCATTTCCAAAGACCTTGATCCTGTTCCAATGTACATAATGTTATCAAGAAGTTTAAGGCCCATGGCACTGTAGCCAACCTCCCTGGACATGGCCACAAGAGAAAACTTGATCAAAGATTGTTTGAATGGTGGAGAAAGCACCTCGATCAACTGCCACACAGATTCAAGCTGACCTTCAGACACAAGGTACAATAGTTTCAACTCGCACCATCCATTGCCAAACTCAATGAAAGAGGGTTATATGGTAGGAGACTCAGGAGAACCCCACTGCTGAGAGAGAGACACAGAAAGCCCAACTGTAATTTGCCAAAACACACCTCAGCATGGCAAAATCCTTCTGGGAGAAAGTCCTGTGGACAGATGAGACCAAATTAGAGCTTTTTGGTAATGAACACCATCTCTATGTTTACAGAAAACAAAATGAAGTCTTTAAAGAAAAGAACACCTTCCCTACAGTGAAACATGGAGGAGGTTAAGTGATGTTTTGGGTTTGCTTTGCTGCCACTGGCACTGGGTACATGTGTGCATGGCATCATGAAATCAAGAGAATACCAAGGCATTCTTGAGCTCAATGTCATACCCAGTGTCAGAAAGTTGGGTCTCCGTCATGGGACATGAGTCTTCCAGCATAACAATGAGCCCAACCACACTTCAAAAAGCACCCAGGAATGGTTCAAGACAAAATGCTGGACTGCTCGAAGTAGCCAGCAATGAGTCCAGATCTAAATCCCATTGATAACCTGTGGAGAGATCTGAAAACAGCAGTTGAGAGAAGACACCCTTCAAATCTGGGAGAACTGGAGCAGTTTGCACAAGAAGAGTGGGCCAAACTGCCAGTGCAGAGGTACAGGAAGCTCATCGATGGCTATAGGAAATGCTTTATTGCAGTTACTTTGAAAAAAGGCTGTACTACCAAATATTGAATCAATCATTTTTTCAATGCCATTTTTTATTTTCTGATTTAAAGGATATATTAAGTTCTGAATCAAAAACAAAGGTTCTGTAATATTAAAGTGAAATAAAGAATTGTGGAGACCAATTACTTTGGTCAATTTCAACTTATTTTTAGAGAAAATTGTGAGTTATTTGCAAAAAATATATTTTTGGCCACAACTGTAACTTGATACCCTCTAGGCCCCTCATTGGTTGATCATACAGATTTGAGGGTTAGTGAAGTCTGACCCATTGTCTTGGGTCTTATTGTCTTGATGAAAGCAAAAGGAAGATTTTTTAAAAATCTTTAATAACAGCTTTAAAATCTTTAATAACTTTATTCTATATTAACACTGTTATGATCACACCAATATGGTGTTTCTCAGCTATCAGTTGCCCTGGGAAACTTACATTCTCATGAGGGCTCCCAGTTTTCCAGGACCAGCTGCACAAGCCAGACTTTCCTTCACTGATCTGTATTAATTAGTAATTAACAATTCATTACTCAATTTCTCTTTCCCTATTTAATGTTGAGGCGTCACTTTAACAGTGCTTTGTCATTTGTCATTTGTTCATTTCACCCTTTTCACTCCCCTTCTGTGCACTAGTGCTTTTAGTTCTCAGCTTCATTTGTATTCATTTCACCCATCCTGTCTACACTCCTATTCTCCGGTTCCCTGGGCAGATGCCTCAGCAGCTATTCTGGGTGCTCGTCCTGCCCTGGATTCCTAAGCCTGTCTGCACCCCTGTCTTTGGTTCACGCTTTGAAGTCGAATCACCCTTGGAGCTCAGCATCAGGATTCTGTTCCAAGACCAAGCGTCCTCCTTTTTTCCTGGGAGCTTGGCACAGGATTCCTCGCCGTTGCTGAGGCTGCCCAGCTCCTGTCGACAGACTGATTCGCCAGGGTTGAGATCCCCGGGCTGGAAAATGACCATCCTCTCCTTTCACCGCTGAATCAGTCTGTTCTGACTCCATTCCAACAATCCTCCAGGATTTTCTGTGCACTGCAGCCCGGTTCCTGGCTGCACAGCAACTCCTTAGCTCTGCCCTGAACCCAGGACTCCTTCCCACTGGCCTCTCTCCCCTACGGTTCCCACCTGCTTCTATGAGGTAGCTTATGTCATCCAGGACCCTAGGACTCTCCCCGTGCAACCTCATCCTGTTTTTTTTCCCTGCCCTAGCACTTTTTTTTCTCTTTAGCACTTTTCTTTGTCCTCTTTCCTGCTGCCTTTCTGCCAATTCTTGAGGAGTCTTCCTTTCCTGATTCAGGGCTCTTTTCTCTTCCTCACCGTTTTCTCTCAGGCTGTTTGAGAACTTTTCTTTCCCCTGCTTATTTACTGCCTCCCAACGGAACCTTTTTTTTCTTCTTGGGGAGCCAGGCATCCTATATCCAATCTGTCTGGAGAGCATTTCCCTGTTAGCCTGGCCTCCCTGTGGATTCCTGTTCCCGAGCTCTGACTGGGACATACAGTACAGATGCAGCCATTCAAGCTATGCCGTACAAACCCATACCGCAGGCAACTAACCACAAGCCACCGCGGCTTACCACGGTACGTGATTGGTTGGCGAAAATGACCGAAAGGGGCATTGGTTGGTAGTGAAAAGATCATTTAATCTCTTTACTGTGCACATTTTAATCTGCTTAGTATTGTAACGCTTACGGCCGACAGGCACTGTGTAAGAGCCGGCGTACCAGAGCAGGTGACATCACCGCCCTTCCCTGTGATAGCAGGACTACAGCTACTGGGGTGTGGAGAGATCTCTCTTTGGCTCACGGGGCTGGGTCGCTGCAGAGAGACGTGGGAGTCCTGGGTTTGAGCCCCCGACGGTGGGGGGCCGACCTAATGCGGCAAGGGCGCCCGCCTGAGTCCCTGTTGCGTTACAGTATTGAATATTTATATGGAATGAATATATTGAAATGTATATGAAATTTTAGTAGCTAAGCATAAAAAGAAGCGGAGCATAATGCATCTGAAGGTCATAAACGATATTAATTTATGAACAAATTATGTAAACTGTACTGTTTACTGCTGGTATTGGTAGTTTAAAGAAAAAATACACACCAGTATTCCATTTCTCCTTAAACATTTTAAGCATCGAAGATTTACATGTGGTTATTTCAGAAATGTTTTTACATGCTCCTTCTGACCATATTACTGTACATTTATATACTTTGTGAAAATTGATCGTTTTAGCCTTTTCTGCGAATATGCTTGTTATCGGAGTAAACAAAAGCATACTTTTAGAATTTGATTAATGGGGAATATAATATGGAATCGTGTATCTAAAGAAATAAATAACGATATAATTATATTCATGTACTAGCAAAAACAGTAGTCTAAGACTTTCTTTGGATACAGCATGTGTACGGCTGTTTCACTGTTTGCTATGTCACTGCATCTGTCATGTGATGGCTTAAGTGATTGACTTATAAGGCTGAGGCTGGGTGTTCAAATCCAGGTATCACCATGAGTTTTCTTTTAACAAATAAACATTTCTTTGAAAAACTAAAATAGCAAATATTATGGACACTATATTGACATTTTTTATATTTTAAAATATCACAACATGTTCGTACTGTATGTACACAGCGGTACAGCAGGGTGTAGGGCGCAAGTCCATGTGAGCCCGAAAGCCCTACATTAATGTAACGCATTCGCCCGGCACTGTGGCCGAAGAGCGCCTGGCTGGGGTACGCTGTGAGGGGCAGGACGGGAGTGGTAATGGTCAGGGCGGGGATTAGGAAAGCCGCTGACCAGTGTAGCTGACCCACTGTGAAATGGGCGTACAGTCTGGGGAGATTGTGTAAATAGTTCCCTGGTTTCACACCCCTGTGTGTTGCTCTCTCTCTTCTCCCCTCTCTCGCTTGCTCGCTCTCTCTCTGGTGCCCCCTCTCAATTCAAGGTGCTTTCTTAGCATGACTGATGGATACAATCAGTGTTGCCAAAGCAAGAAAAAATAATAAAATTAACACAAAACAAAACAAAAATAAAAAAATACAGACATATTTCAGAAATTTCCAACAAAGACATCAAAGACATATCATAAAATATTTGTGGGAACTCTGGGA